AACAGAATGACGCAGCGCGCCGTGCCAGGCAGGCACGCTGGTGGGCGCGGAAGGCGCCACTGGCTGGGTGTGATCAAGTCAGCTACGGCAGCGGCTGAGGGCGGCGAAGGCGGCGGCGACGACAACAGCAATGCGCATAGCGGTAGAGAGAGAGAGAGAGAGAGAGAGAGAGAGAGAGGCGGGTGGGTGCAACAAGGTCGGTGGACGAGCAGCAGTGCCGTGGTTGTAATTGTAGGAGCCGTTGTGGTGCCTGGCAGCGCAGGCAGATGGACAGGGATGGCGGCGATTGGCCCGTCTGCAAGCCACACCAGAAATAGACACATACATGGGCTCGCTAGACGGGTGGCAGCGGAGCCCACGGCTCACCACACTCCAACAGGGGACAAATGCCTTTTGGTGGTGCATGTCTGCCCTCATCACCACCACCACTTCCACAAGGCCGCCTGGGGCCAGCCTGGGGCTCTGTCGGGCATTGGCTGCCATGCATGGCCTCCACTCAGGGAAGCCGGCGCCCTGGCAGATGGTGCGCAGTTAGAGGTCCCCGGATTTGCTGCTGATGCTCACCCACGCGCTGGGCCGCATCTAAACATGTATGTATGTACGCACGTATGTATATCATCGTCAGTCTCATCGCCGCCTTGAGCCCCGCCATGCTGCTATTGCTGCTGCCACTGCTGCCGCCGCCGTTGCTGCTGCTGCTACTTACTGCTGCTGCTACTGCTACGCCCGGTTCATGCCTCCACCTCGCCGTATGTCCTCGCCATATGCCTTGCCCTCCTTCTCCCCATATTGCCCAAGTGTCTGCCATCTTGTCTTATTTTTCCTTTGCATCTGATTATACCAGCCCTCTTCCCTTCACTCCCACACCCCGCACGCCCTGTCTCGACGCTCTGGCCCAGGCCTTCCGCTTCCCCAGTTCCTACTATTGCAGACGTCTCAGAGCCTCGCCCCGCCCATCACACATAGTCCGCACGACGCTTTATTCTTCCTGCCATCCGCCCATCGTCGTCTCTGCAATCTGCATGCCACATCTGTCTCAGACCTCTCGGCTCATCAGGCGTGCCCACTACTGGCTGAAGATATCCACCACTGACAGGCAGCCATCCAGCTAAGCTGACTGCCAACTCCGCGGTGCTGCGCCATCAGAGGCCTCCCACCCGAGCCTCACCGCACGGCTTCCAGCCGCCCGCTTCCTGGCCTCGTTTGCATCTTCGCATACAGGCCAAGCAACCGTCGGGCCTTGCGCGACCATCCTGAGTCCTCACATCGCCAGATCATACAGGCCTGCTCGCTAGTTTACCGCTTCTACGGGTCCCGTAAGCACCAAACACTTATCCGCACTTGCACGCCAAAAACTACCTCTGTCCTCTCGCTTTTTCCCTGCAGTTACGTCTACGATCTGCACTCTTCGCTCTGGCCAATCCCGTCCTCTTCCGCTGCCTTGGGTCACTTGTTCGTCTCCCCCATATACTATTACTGCCTAGTATCGACTGTCGCCTACATCTACCGTCAAAGCGTTATACTTCTGCACGACCCTTTACTACCCGCACGGCAAGGCTGTCCACTCTCGTCCATATTGGCCAGCGTTTGGTCCCTGTCTCTACTCCTTTGTTCATCATGTAAGTTGGTCCATCAGTCACATGGAATTGCGGGTCGCAATATGCGATATTTCGTAACAAGTCACTCACTTTCATCTTAGTACCTGGCTTCTGCTCTGAATCAATTTCCATTGCTTCTGTGCCGCCACTGTTCGCCGACGTAAAGCTGCTATTATCTGACCTGCCATCAGCCAAGAGCTGGCGTTCCAGTGTTTGACACCGGCGCTCAAAGTCATCCTGACTCCCGTATGAATCCCGCTCCTGAAGACTTCGTTTGTTCGTCCCCAAGTAGACCACCCCTATCACTTCTGCCACTGAAAAGGTCCACCAACATTGTCTCGAACCCTCCCATTCTTCACACTAAAACACCAGACTTGCAAATTTTGCTACAAAATATCGACATCCACCAAACTGGCCTGCACTGTCTCTGCAAGCTATCAGGTGCGTGCTTCACTGCTTGCAGTAACTCAAACAGGGGCACAACTACAAGTCTCGGACCCCTCTATCTGCTGCCTGCATCCTAAGCCCCCACCCCCTAAGCTGTCTGCTAACATCAACGCAGCTTTCGCCTGACAGCGCCTTCAGGCCACATTTTGTGGGCACTGATAAGAAATTTAAAACATTGCGCAGCGTGGGTCCTTGTGGCGGGACTCGGGCTGTGAGCGCTGTACAAAGTGCAAAATCACTGCCCATGTCAGGATACGACAAACCCCATCAATATGTGTATGGTGAGTGATCTTTACCTCATCTGACGAATGTGGAAGGGGCACCTGCCAATGATGGGTCGAATGAACCCGGCACTTGACCACGTGCAAACGATGAACATGTTTGACTGACCACCTCTACCCAGATGCCCAAAGCACCAGATCAAATCAGGCTGCAAACTACCCTGGCATCATACAGCCTGCATTCGGTCCCCAGTATACGGGTCCGTCCGCGGGACTGACCCATGAGCCTTCAAGTGCAGACATGGCCTACCTGCCTAGCTCAACCTACGAGTCACGCGGTGCGGCCAACCACCGCTCCGATCCAGCATTTATCGATGCAGCAGTTCGTCATCCCGCCTCTCTCACAGTTACTGAAACGGAAATCACCGAACAAATTACTCCTGCCCAAGGCACTGCTGGATCTACCGTAACGCTGCAACTCCGGACGAATTACGATCTCGAAGCACATCACTGCGCTTTCACACTCATGTTTGGCGACGAAAAGTGCGTCGGCGCACTCCAAAAGGTCGAGTACGATGACCATGACCAGTGGTACAACTATGTCCTCAACGTCGAGGTGCCCCCATTCCCGCTCACAAACACCTGGGATCCGACCATGATGTTGAAACTGCAGATCGAGGACAAGATGGGCCGTCCACGAATCGAAACAAACGCAGGAAAATTCACTTACACCGACATGTCGCCAAATCTGGCCTACCAGTCTTCGTCCGACTTCTCCAGGAAGCGAAGGTATTCCAATGAGCTCAACGACGATCAGAGTTACCAAAACACCAGCAACGTTGGAAAGCGCGCAAAGTTTACTCGATTCGCGAAACCATCTGCGGCATCTGCGGCCTATTCTGGCGTGCAGGTTTCACCGCTGCAGAGCCATATTCCACTTTCCAGTCCGTATGGTTCGAGTAATGGTTACGACGCATCCAAGCAAATAGCTTATGGCCCGGAATTCCCCCAGAAAGGCCTCTACGCAGTGCCATCGGGCATGAGTATGGGCCATGGTGATTACAAGTCGTCGCAAATGTCTCTAAATATGCAGTCTTATGGCTCCTACAGCTCTCCTATACACGGTGTTCGGTCCAGTGCATCGACCGCAGCCCCTGTGCTTCCCTCACCATCCGCAATCGCAGCGCCAGTTCTTGTTCGCGCAACTCATCTTGCACAAGCAAGCGGTAGCAGCTCTTCCACTCAGCCTTTCAACCCCTATTCCATGTATCAGTCAAAAGCGGTTCTCAGGATTGACGGAGATCTCGATAAGATGAGTGACGACTGGACTCTAGAAGAGCTTGATGCAAAGAGGCGGCTTGTCGAGTTCAAAAGGTCGCAGCAGGGCAGTACCATAACCACCTCCTTCGCACCTGTTACACTGGAGACCCGAAAGGCTCGTAGCATTTGCGTGAGCTGTATCTGGTGGGAAGAAAAGGACGAACACTTCATCACCAGTGTAGACACAATATACCTGCTCGAGCAGCTTGTCAACGTGCGCTTTACTGTCGAGGAGAAGAACCGAATTCGCCGTAACCTCGAAGGCTTCCGACCACTGACTGTCTCCAAAGCAAAGCAAGACAGCGAGGAGTTCTTCAAGGTGATCATGGGGTTTCCTAACCCTAAACCTCGCAATATCGAGAAGGATGTAAAGGTGTTCCCGTGGAAGATTCTCTCCCATGCACTAAAGAAGATAATAAGCAAATATGTACGTTTCCCCTCCAACGCACGGCTACAGGACCTGAAGCTAATTATCCTCAGTCTGCCAGTTATTCATCGACGGCTGGTGTCGGATCACTGCCCCTCGCATCAACATCAACATACGCTCCAAGCGCCGCCGCGTCGCAGGCAACAATGGAGACCCATAGGAACGCGTCCACACAAGCAGTGACTGCATCGATTGCGTCAACAGTCTACAGCCCTCATATGCCATCTTCTAGTCTATCCCCCCACCAAAAGATGGCAGCAGGCCTCGAAGGGTCAGCAGGACACGGCATGCCGGTTGCTCAAAGGACGCCTCCAGGGCAAAGCATGACTCATTGGGGCGCTTCCACCCACCAGGTGTCGCCCTACCAAACAGCCCTCACACACGGAACGCGAGGGTCCTGGGACTATAGCTATCTCAATGCTTCGGGCGTTGCGGAGATGCCATCTATTGCGCACGCCATGCAAATACCACGGCCGGACGCAATCAGTGAGCTCAGCCACCTGCCGACCAACAGCGCCTACCAGCAGTATGGCGAGAGCACAACAAGGGTGTAGAGAAGAAAAGATTGAGCGGCAAGGTAACGCAGAGTTACAGCCAGGACTACGCGTAGTGGGTCTAAGATTGACGTCGGGTGATCAGCCAATGTCCGCATGATCCATTGCAGACTAGCCAGATCGGGGTCCCGCCCCAATAGTCCTCCACACCACGCGTCGTTAGACTTCCCTCACACAATTCTGCCTACCTGCGCAGGCCCACTATCTACTCTGGATCTTTTTCCTTACAATATTCCGCAACTTCATCAGGCGTTAAAGGGCGAGTGGTTTTTGTTTCTCTGCATTTTCTCCATTTAGACGCATCATACCCCAGGACCAAATGGCGTTAAAGGGCTTCCTTTCTGCCTTTTTTTCTATTCCCCAGTTTCTTTCTATCTACTAGGCAATGACGCACGCATACACAGCCTCTTTCGACTCCTGCGATTTACTGTTGATCATGGGGCCGGCGCGATCTAGGCAAACGACACACCATCATGAACCGCATTTCCAAAGCTGAGGGGGAAGCAAGTTTCCGACTTTTTGCATCACCGAGGCGTTCTTGTTTTTTCGTTGTTGCTTCTATATCCCCAACTGTCTTAATATTTGTCTTTACTTCCCCAAATCCATTCATCACCACCACGTTTTTCCTGGTCTTCACCAACGACACATCGATCCACTTTGTCCCATCATCACTTAGAACTGCTTCATCTTTTTTTTTCACAGAGCCCCTTTCGCGATATACACTTACTACTATCCTTTCCCCGATCCAGGGAGGCTTGCATTAGACACAAGGCGCAAACGGGGGGTTGCGGGGCGGGCGGGATCTTCCTTTCCATGCTATCACTTGGCGCGAACCTAGCACATCCTTGTCTAACTCACTATCGGCGTTGATCTTCCTACTATCACACCTTGTTTTCTTATCTGAGATTCCCACCGGAGTTTTTTTTTTGGGGGGGGGGGGGGGGGG